TTAGAGGGGGGGGGGCACTCCTGCAATTTTGCAGACTGGACAGAGATTTTCTGCAAAATATATAATTCTAGGTCTTTAAGGTGAAAACATGCATCTTGGAGTTCTTAGTCGGAATAAAAACGCAATAGTTTAAAAATTCAGAATTTAAAAAGATAGATCTGAAAATGTTGTATTTTATCATAAAACAGTTGATTTAGAATTAGATTATGAAATAGTAATAACGATATAGAGATAGGAATATGAAGTTTATAAAAGATATGTGAAATATATATAAAGGAGTTGAGTCTTTGCAACAAACTCGAATTTTCTAATCCCTATATCTGTACAACCTGACAGTCCATACCTATGACATTTCAAACTTAGATTATTTGATCTAACAAAATTTATAGTTAGAAATATATAAGGTCTACGGCATTGTATGGCAAAGATATTAGGATTAGAACATCAGAATTTGTGGAAAAAACTCACTTCCTTTGCTGCAAATATATAACAGTTTATCTAAAATAGGAAGAAATTAACTAAAATGTGACAATTGTATCTTAAACAGAAAGAAATTGATCTATGTAATAATTTATCCAAAAAAGGAAGAAACTGCTGAAAATACGTAACAAACAAAGCTTTGAAGGGTATTGTTGTGAAACAGAATAGAATTTTTTTTCTTAATCTTTTAGTTTGGGTAAGTGCAATGCAATGTAATGTGTAGAATGTAGATTTCCTGAGGAAGGAAAATGCATTCAGATGTAATATAAAATAAGCCCCCCCTTCGTACCCCCCCTCAGGGGTGGAACGCGTAGGGGGGGGGCCTGGACGACCTCTCCCACGTTCTCGTCCACGACCTCTTGCTTTGACACCTTGTAATCTCTCCGCCTCCTCCCTATTTCTAGGATAACTTCCTACTCTGGACTACACATATTTCATGCTCTAGGATCTGCTGAAAGGCACTGTTATTGCCCCTTTTCTTCGTTTCTGGCCACAAGTTAGGGCATGACTAGTGGGCAATTTCTTAGACGCTCTACCATAGGTAGAACCATAGTCACACTACGGTTACGCTTTACCAGAGCAGTGTAGATAGATAGATACAAACTATAGTTGTACAATGCTAATATGTAACAATATATGTAACAATTTATATAATATAGGATAAAAATTGCAACGATTATATAAGAATTTATCTAAAATAGGAAGAAATTGCTTCTAAAGTATTATAAATCTATATAATAAAGCTCTTTGCTCATATATATTTATATGTATAGCTATAGCCGGCCAAACGGCTGGACCGAATGGGCTGACAGTTTTTGAGGGATACCATGGGTGCATGGGGAGTAAAACAGGTTAAAAAAAATATAGCATTTTTTTCCTTCACAATAAAAATAAAAAATTCTACCATGGGCATTAAACATATTTCCCTTTAAACATATTTATCTAGGTGAACAATCCCTTTAAACATATTTATCTAGGTGAACAATCCCTTTAAACATATTTATCTAGGTGAACAATCCCTTTAAAAATATTTATCTAGGTAAACAATCCCTTTAAACATATTTATCTAGGGGAACAATCCCTTTAAACATATATATCTAGGTGAACAATCCCTTTAAACATATTCATCTAGGTGAACAATCCCTTTAAACATATTTATCTAGGTGAACAATCCCTTTAAACATATGTATCTAGGTGGAAGTTGGCAATTAACATCTTCTCTTGGTTTATTTTTAAACGTTTAATTTGGAAAAAACTTGTTAGAAATTAAAACTTAAATAAAATATAAAAGTTGTCTTCGTCGTATTGATATAAACGCTGACCACTGTCCCATAATTATTGGTTTACCAAAATAATAATTATATTGACGTTAGCAATTACATTCTTTAATATATCATAAAATATTATTTTTATTACTTGTTAATCAAAATATCAAATGTTTTAAATACATCTGTTTAAACATAATAAAAAGTTACCGTTAAAAACATTGATTAAAAATGTTGGAAGTAAATACCTACAACATTAAAATGTGATATTTTTCTATTTACAGTGATAAATGTCGCTAAAATATATAGTTGTCAGAACTGACGTTTTTAAAAATTTCATAAATATTTATAAATTCCACTGCTTTCCGTAAACCTCCGTAATCAAATATATGCAAAATCATAATTTCAATTTTGAATTTTGAAAAAAAATTACTTATTTCCCCTAAATAATGATAGGGATAAAGCCAACTTTCGTTAAATGCAGAACAAACTATTTAAAAAAGCTCATTGAAAAAATTATCGGTCAAAAAAATTAAAGAGTTAGAGAAAAATTTCTGTTTTGTCTCAAAAAAAAAAGAGAGATTAAGCAAAGAAAAAGCTAAACAATGGGAGAATAGTGGTATATATATATATATATATACAGACAAACATGTTTAAACACATAAAACTGAATAGAGGAGTTTAAAGCTGATTAAGAAGAATGAGGACAGCAAAGAAAAGAGAAAAAGAGATAAAGGTTGTCTCTGCACCACTTCTCATCTGATACTCCCTAAACAAATCAATAATTGTATTCGTCAAATAACGTTTTAATTTTAAAAATACATAAATGGCATTAACGATGCTTCCAAGTAAAAATGGGAATTAACAGTGATGAAGATATAAAATCTTCTTTATTTGAAGGTTCTTAATCTCCTCAACCTTTTCTTAACTTTTTGGAACCTATTAATAATTAGCCTAAAACTACGAACCAGAACCATGTAAGAACTATGAACCATGTAAGAACTATGAACCATGTAAGAACATGAACCATGTAAGAACATGAACCATGTAAGAACTATGAACCATGTAAGAACATGAACCATGTAAGAACTATGAACCATATGTATGTAAGAACATGAACCATGTAAGAACATGAACCATGTAAGAACATGAACCATGTAACAACTATGAACCATGTAAGAACATGAACCATGTAAGAACTATGAACCATGTAAGAACATGAACCATGTAAGAACTACGAACCATGTAAGAACTACGAACCATGTAAGAACTATGAACCATGTAAGAACTATGAACCATGTATGAACTATGAACCATGTAAGAACATGAACCATGTAAGAACATGAACCATGTAAGAACTATGAACCATGTAAGAACTATGAACCATGTAAGAACTATGAACCATGTAAGAACTATGAACCATGTAAGAACTATGAACCATGTAAGAACATGAAAACCATGTAAGAACATGAACCATGTAAGAACATGAACCATGTAAGAACTATGAACCATGTAAGAACTATGAACCATATAAGAACTATGAACCATGTAAGAACTATGAACCATGTAAGAACATGAACCGTGTAAGAACTATGAACAATGTAAGAACTTGAACCATGTAAGAACATGAACCATGTAAGAACTATGAACCATGTAAGAACATGAACCATGTAAGAACTATGAACCATGTAAGAACTATGAACCATGTAAGAACTATGAACCATGTAAGAACTATGAACCATGTAAGAACTATTTTGGGAACCAGGTGTTGTCCAGGTTTATTTTATTATTTTTAGCCATAGTTTCACCCGCCGTTTGCCTGCACATTGGTACCCTGTGGAATTTCGAAAAACTTCGAATTTTTTAGTCTATGTCAACCCACGGGTTACCTAAATAATCAGCAAATTTGGTCTAATAAGGATATCCAAATCGTCACTGAATTCCCATGTTTATTGGTACACCCTGGATAGAAGCAAAGAGCTTTTTATCATTTAGAGAAACATTAAATTAATAATGTACTGTCTTATCTTAATTCCCATCCTTTGAGGAGAACCCTGTACAGTATATAACATATATAAAACATATGTTTTATCGCTCGAGCTTTATATAAAAAATCAATGATCGAAGACGACTTTTAACAGTCTATTCTCATGCTGTCTTATAAGAAGTAAAAATTACTTGACGACGGGGCATTTAGAATCGTCCCATCCTGGAATATTCCCGAACTGTCGGAGCATCTGTTCAATCTGTTTATCCCTCATTGTCATGATCTGGGACTTGGTGAAGCAGTCTAAGGTGAGACGGGCAGAGCAATCCTAAATATTTAGGGATAAAAGAACTGTATGCATAATTTCAAGTGACACTATATGTCTGATTTACAACGGTACCCTTAAACCCTGTTTATGTTCGTCGAGTACATCCGCTTATGCAGCTGGAAATTACGCTGTGCGCTGCGTTGAGTTCAGGCTGTACGCAGTGCACATAGGAATTTTTAGCTGATCATACAAAGGAATTTAGATCAAATTTATAAATACGTTTACACACATACAGGGTGTCCCACAAAACATGACAGTTGGTAAATAGTTTAGAATGTCTTCTGCCATAATTTGTTAAGTTGTTTGATACCAAAGATGATAATAAAAATATTATATAGGACTAGGATTCATATATTGCAGTAGTAAAATTAACTTCAAAGTAAAATATAGTGGAGTAAAAGATTTTTTTAAACGAAATAAACTGCAAACAGCCTTTAATATCTAAGACAGTGTATGTAAGAAGACATTAAAAACTATTTACTAACTGTCATGTTTCGTGGGACACCCTGTACCTATGTACTCGACGAACACAGCAAGATTGTAAGGGTATACCATTGTAAATCTGATATTCTCCTCTTTGATTGTAGTGGCAAGCTCGATTTGCAACGATACCCTTTAAACTGTTGTCCGTGTAAAAATCGTACAAATACTCAACTTTACCGGTCTAAAAATTGATTTTTTTTCAAGCTTGGTTCACCATAACAATGACTTGCACATTTATGGAACAGGAAAACAAGAAGAAAATTGTCATAATTCGACACTTTTCCAGATTAAAAAAAAAGCCTTTTCTTCAATATTTTTGGCTCGGATAAAGGGTACCTTGTTCCAGGGGGGGGGGGTTAACCCCAAAAAAATTTTGCTTTTCGGGCAAAATGTTTAAACCCCCCACTAGACAAAATCTTGAATACGCCCCTGACATATATGTATGTATATAATTAGTACTTACATCCAACTGAGTGAGCCAGTTACAGGCGCTTCGAGCAATAAAATCCGGTTTGGTGTTAGCATCGGTCATCTTACTGGACACGGCCTGGGCGGACCTGCAGCATACAAAACTGGTTTTATACCATATCCTGATTGGATATTTTGGTCTAATATAGAATAACATCGTGATAGGGTACCCGTATACCGACCAAATATTGCTGGTAACAAAACAGGATTTTCCAGTTTATTCAAAAACTTATCTAATGAATCAAATTAAAAAGCTTTTGTTAAAAACGAAAAATTATCATCAACAGTCTTATATAGTCGAAAGCCTGAAGAATTATTACGAAAGAAAAAATATTGAGCAAATGAATATATTTGTGGTTTATGGAAAAAAATCATGATTTTGCTTTTGTTGCTGGAAAACATATTTCGGTCGTCAGGGATTCATAATTGGATTATATTCAAATGCTACTAGCGTGCACAAAAAATAGATAGGATTGAAGACAATACTTGAAAATACTTATTTTAGACCATTTTTAGCTTAGATATCAATAATAAATTTATAAACAAATATTTTGGATTAACAAATATTTAATTTTATTCTATACTTACGCAGCAGCACATTGTCCATATTCAGCTGTAACCAGCTGACAAGAAGCAGCATCTCTTTTCTCCCTAGATACAATCATTATATATATTCAGCTGTAACCTGCTGACAAGAAGCAGCATCTCTCTTCTCCCTGGATACAATCATTATATATATTCAGCTGTAACCATCTTTCTTCTCCCTGGAAACAATCATTATATATTCAGCTGTAACCTGCTGACAAGAAGCAGCATCTCTCTTCTCCCTGGATACAATCATTATATATATTCAGCTGTAACCATCTTTCTTCTCCCTGGAAACAATCATTATATATTCAGCTGTAACCTGCTGACAAGANACCAGGTTTAATGGTTTCCACCAGGATTAATGGTTTCCACCAGGTTTAATGGTTTCTACCAGGTTTAATGGTTTCCACCAGGATTAATGGTTTCCACCAGGTTTAATGGTTTCCACTAGGCATAATTCAAAATAAACTTAGTTCGGTTTTTAATGTTAGTTCAAACCTGAGTGTTGCCTATTATCTAAGCAATGACTTCATGATGTTGCATGAATTCAAAGAAATTTTAAATTAGCGAAACTTGGCTCCGCCTTTTTAATATAAAATACACCCAGGCTTTGAAGAAAATTTATTTAAATAAATAGCTTTTTTTCAAGTATGTGGAGCACACTAATATAAAGACAGGTAACCAGTATCTGCTGATGGGAACGGGAAACTAGTATTTAATGATGGAAACAGGAAACTAGTATCTACTGATGGCAACAGGAAACCAATATAAACTGATGGAAACAGGAAACTAGTTTCTACTGATGGAAACAGGAAACCAGTAGATAATAATGGAAACAGGGAACTAGTATGCACTAATGGAAACTGGAAACTAGTATATACTGATGGGAACGGTAAACTAGTATCTACTGATGGGAACGGGAAACTAGTATCTACTGATGGAAACAGGAAACCAGTATATAATAATGGAAACAGGGAACTGGCATGCACTAATGGAAACTGGAAACTAATATATACTGATTAAAGCAGGAAACTAGTATCTAGTGATGGGAACAGGATATCGGCATCAACTAATGGAAACAGAAAACTAGTATCTACTGATGGAAACAGGAAACTGGTTTTTATTGATATATATTATATACTGATAAAAGCAGAAAACTACTATCTAATGATGGAAACAGGAATCTAGAATTTAATTATGGAAACAGGAATCTAAGATATACACATTGAAACAGAAAACTTGAGTATTCTAACGCAAACAGGAAACTAGAATATATTGATGGAAACAGGAAACTCAAGTATACCGATGAAAACAGGTAACTAGTATATACTGATGGAAACAGGAATTTATAATTTACAAATGGAAACAGGAAACTATAATGTACTATTGGAAACAGGAAACTAGAGTAAACTGAAGGTGACAGGAAAGTAGAATATTCTGATGGAAAAAGGAAATTAGAGTATACTGATTGAAACAGGAAACTAGTATCTACTAACGGAAACACAAGACTATTGTATACTGATGGAAACAGGAAACTAGTATTTACTGATGGAAACAGGAAACAAGTATATACTGATGGAAACAGGAAACTAGTATATACTTTTAGAAACAGAAAACTATTAAATGCTGATGGAAACAGGGAACTAATATATACTGATGGAAACAGGAAACTAGTATACACTGATGTAAACAAGAATTCAAAGTAAAATGGATACAGTAAACCAAAGTGAAATGGAAACAAGAAACTAAAGTGAAATGAAAACAGGAATCCAAAGTGAAATAAAAACAGAAACCAAAGTGAAATGGAAATAGGAAGACAAAGTGAAACGGAAACAGGAAACCAATGTGAAATAAAAACAGGAAACCAAAGTGATATGAAAACAGGAAACTAAAGTTAAATGTAAACAAGAAACTAAAGTAAAATGTAAACAGGAAACCAAAGTGAAATAAAAACAGGAAACCAAAGTGATATGAAAACAGGAAACTAAAGTGAAATGAAAACAGGAAACCAAAGTGAAATAAAATCAGGAAACTAAAGTGAAATGGAAACAGGAAACCAAAGTGAAATAAAAACAGGAAACCAAAGTGAAATGGAAACAGGTAACCAAAGTGAAATGGAAATATGAAACTAAAAAGAAATGAAAGCAGGAAACTAAAGTGAAATGAAAACTGGAAACCAAAGTTAAATGTAAACAAGAAACTAAAGTGAAACTAATATACACTGATGGAAACAAGAATTCAAAGTAAAATGGAAACAGGAAACCAAAGTGAAATGGAAACAGGAAACCAAAGTGAAATGGAAATATGAAACTAAAGTGAAATGAAAACAGGAAACCAAAGTGAAATGGAAACAGGAAACTAAAGTGAAACGTAAACGAAAGACAAAGTAAAATGAAAACAGGAAAGTAAATTGAAATGAACACAGTAAGCCAATTCAGTGAAATAATAAAAATTAGCTAGGCGAAGGGTAGCTAGAGTAGAACATGAAATAATTGTGTTGTGCACTTGTGTTTATATAATTACAGCCTTAAAATTGAATTTTTATAATTACAACCTGAAACTTGTATCTATATATATTTTCGGCGTGTCTGTTTGTTCATTTGTTTATTTCAAATAAACGTACAAACAGCAGAACTGATTGAGCCCAAATTTTTGGTGGCATAACATTTACGGTTTTTGAAAATCCATCAGTTGAACAGGAAAATCTGCGATATTATTAAAGTACGATTTAAAGTTGGCGGCTAGCTTGAAAATCAGCATTTAAAATATAAAACACATTAAAAAATTCTGTAACTAGGTAAATATTGGAAGGGAAAACATGCACGCCCCGAAAAAAATCAAGGGTAAAATTCCTCCAAAATTTTTTGATTTTTTTTAAACAAAAGAAACTTCATTGTATAATAAAATACAAGTTTGCAGGCTCTTCGCAATTTAGAACATGCATAATAATTTAGAACATGCATAGAACTGTAGAACATGCATAGAACTGTAGAACATGCATTTGAATTTTAGTCCAGGTTAAAAAGCTGATTTCAAATCTGGATGGGGGAATATCGAAATGTCACGAAAAATCCCTCAGCATATTCTTGTTTTTCGACAAAATGAATATGAAAGCACTGTTTAGAGAAACACTACTTCCCGCGCACAGAGCTGCAGTGCGCAAGCCATTAGCAAAGCAAACAGTCCAGAGAGAGAGAGAGAGAAACACTGGCATTGCCTGAATTTATCTGTCTATCAATTCGGCGTAAAAAGGGTGAAAGCATAAATATTTTTTTGTAGATTTTGAATTCTAAATAGTTATGAAAAATACATAATTTTAAACAAGAAGAAACTGCTTAAACCTGCAAGAAATGGAGATTTTTTATGGTTTCTAGAAATTTTGAGGAGGGCAAGTCTGCAAGGGGCCCTGGAGGGGAATCTCTAAAAATATCATAAGGAATTTACTATCTATTTTACAAGGGTTAGCCCTTGGTCCAAGGCTGTATCTGCTACGTGTGTATGCCTATAGGCCGTTATTTACATCTATATTTATGAATCTTAAAAAAGCAAGAACATGCACAGGATCTCCCCTTCATGCAACGATTATTTGCAACTGCCTGTATGCATGAATACAAGGTTTAAAACTTCCAAACTCTGTCGGAATACGAAACTTTAGGTTTGTTAAAATCGGGAAATTCAAAACTTTTTCTTTTTACAAAATTATTATCATTGATATTATTATTATTATCATTTTTGTTATTATTATCAATTTTATTATTTATGTATTATCATTATGATTACTGTTAATTGCTATTTTTTCATTATTTTTGTTTAGCGAACCTTTCTTTCTTATGACATTTTTTTATTTTAAATGTAAATACAACCATTTTTCGTCCACAATGAAAATTAACAATTTAAGAATTCGTTGAATTTTTCCGTTTTCAGCTTTCTGGATTTTCAAAAATTGTACTACAATTCTTTTTTCATATAGAACTGTATTCATCATTATAATTTCTTTATAATGAAAATACAAAAATAGAAACAGCCACATTCTTCCTTCTCAGACACTGAACAAGTTTTCCCTCAGANAGAGAATTGTTGCAAAGTTGCCATCTCTCTCTCTCTGTATAGATTCCCTGCTCCGAGCCGGAAATTTAAGAGAATATCGTTGAACAAAACAATTCATAGTTTTCTTTTTGGGGTCTCTACATTTGCGTAGATTTTAATTCTAAGATCAGAAACCAAACAGAGAAAGTAATGAAACCACATGAAATAATATTCGTTTACAAAAATAACTGGTATCTACAAAACTGCCTGACCCCATTCATAAAACAGGATTTCCTGTACTGACTTTCATTTCGATTCTCTATCTTAAGTTTTAGGCTCTGGGCTTGGCAGTCGGCAGCACTTTTTCCAAGAACATGATGATCACATTTAGCAAATATATACATAAAGATGCATCTGTTCAGATCAGAAATTCGGGGCGCCTCCCACCCTGGTCTTCTTAGGGGTTTCTGTTTTGGCGTTTTTGTACTTTCCTATAAAAAGGTATAATTAGACAGCACATTTAAAAATCAAAGTGGTCACAGTTTTAGGGTTTTAGCCCTTTATAGAATTGGAACTGCATGTTTACGTAATACTTGATAACACATTTCCGTTGCATGCATTGTAAGATTATCCAACCAACCAGAGTAAATTATGATCATACAGCAAGAACAAGGAAAACTATGAAAGAGGAAGACAATTTAAAGCAATAATTAAGTGCATTTGTTGTTATTTAGCAAATACAGAGGCTCGTAATAAATTACGCTGTACATAAATAGCTAAATGTGTCAATTAGTAAATACGTAAATCATAATAGGATTGCTTAATTATGTTATATATAACATCCCATTACTTGTAATTACGCTGTTAAGATCCAATTCGAATCTAAAGTGGAGAAATATAGTTGTTATAGAGACTCTGTACTATAGCTAATCGCGACCATTGGTTTGGCATTGATCGATTACTAGCTCATGTCCTTGTTCACATTAATAGCTGACAAAATTGTGTCTGGGTTTAGACATTAATAGCTAAGTGGAACTGAATTGTACCTGGATAGATATGTGTTTGGGAAACTGTTATGGAATAGGGCATTTACAACAAAAATGGTAGCAGCAGCAAGAATCAAGGACCCCATCTTAAATGCCTAGAGCTCCAAGAAAGACAAATCAAGTGAGTAACTGGTTTAACGTAGTACTGAGAGAAACAAGAGGTGGAGATATCTTTGAAAACGAGGCAGCAACAGCATCACTGTACACTGTGGAATCATTGTACACTAGGTTATCTTGTGAGGAGGTTTAGAGATAGAAATAAGCATGACCGAAGCCAGAGGAGGGAGAAACCTCCAATTCTCAGAGTTCCAGGTCATAATGCAGAAATGGGAACAAATGGAGCAAGGAAAACAAGCTTTAGAGGAAATAGTTGGAGCAGTGCAAAGAGATGTAGTAAAGACGAAGAAAGAAAAGAAATCGTATGTGAATACATGGGAAAACAATGGAAAACCAGAGAATCAGGATCCTATTGCAAGATTAACAGCAATGTTAGAGAAACCCAAGCTTGCATATGCAAACCAGAAAAGTAAAGATTTCCTAGATGCAAGGGTGATAAGCAGAGGTGCAAATGAGGACCCCTATGAGAAACTAGGTAGATTTGAGACTGCTCTTAAGAAAAGAATCCTGGCTTTTATAGAAAAGGCTCTGAAATATGCCAGAAATCACAAAGAAATGTCCAGCTGAGTCTAAAACTAAAGAATGCGCAAATTTTAAGTTTGAGGTTAAAAGTTCTGTAAAATAATGAATAGCTACTTAAATATTAAACTTTCTCAATTTTAAATTTGAATTTCCCGGGAAAATCTGAACCAATCAGAGAGAAGGATTTACGGAGAATATTACATAACCATCGCTAATCAGCTGATTACGTAACCGAAAACAAAACATATTTTGAGTTAAAACCGTATTTTGGGTTTACATGCAAAAATTAATTAATCTAAAACGTGAAATTTGTTTAACAAGGTTTTCACTTTTAAATATATCGTAAAGTTGAATGCCACTTTCTCAGCTGAATGATGATTGAATAATAGACAAATAGGGAAAATGCAGGATTTCAAGATTTTAACCCTGTGTTTAAATTTTAATTCGTCGATTTCGGGTTAAATATTTAACCTCACGGTTAAAGTTCAGGTTTAAATTAAGTCAGAAGTGGCATTTAACCATGAACTTAAAATTTAAGTCAAAACTTTTCGTTCTTTAGTTTTGGACTCTGGTGTGCGAAATTGGAAGATCATTTGTCCAATCATGACTGGGAAACAATACCAAATGATGCAATGAAAGGGATGTTATTGTCATGTACCACATGTGGGGCTAGACAGGAGTACTGTTGCAGCCTACAGGATCTGGACTAGCATTTGTTAATTATGAAACAGGAGAGTTCTTTGCTTAATTATTGAAGAAATTCTCATAGGTAAAGATGAAGAAGACAGGAAACTGGAATACATCAACAGAAGACAGACAAAGAATGAAGATCCCAGGAGATATTACGCTGACAAGTTAAGGCTATGTTTACAAGGATACGCTCCAGCCAAGAGAACATTGTCAGAGTTTAAGACTGCAATGATTTTGGGGTTGAACCACTGTGAACTGTGGAGAATGTGTTTACAGTTTATGCCCAAAGTACTGCAAAATGAGGGTGAGATTAAAGCAGTACTGGATCATCAGCTGGATGAAATGTAGAGAACAGGGCAAGTTCCTATGAAGGTAAACGCGATGCCTGGCTTAGTATCCGATGAATCAGATAAAGAGGAAAGTTATGGAGATCTCCATGCAATGCAGCCCAAAAATATCTGTTTTTACTGCAAAGGTACAAGTCATATGAAGAGAGACTGCAGGAAGTTGGCCGAATGGGGTAAAAGGAATCCAGTGCAATGGCATAAGAGAAACCAGACAAGAGGAACAAGAGTTGCAAACAAACAGAAGCAACAACAGGAAAAATATCAATTTTTCCTGTTATAATTGTGGAAAAATAGGACGTTACTCGAGTGACTGCAGAAAGAAACGGAGTGATAACGGAGGAGGCGGAAAAGTGGTAGATCTAGAGAAAGCAATGGCAGATCAAAGGAAGAAAATGAGTAAGATGCTTCCAGTGTTCCAACAGTGCACAGCTGGCAACTCCAGAGATGAAGAAATTTGATTTAATAAATAGTGATATAAATGAATTAATAAATTTTTCGTTAAGAATTATAATAAGAGTTATAAATCCTTTATCTGTGGCGTTATTTATAGTAAATATATTAAACAAAGAAGACTTTGTTTCCGCTTAAAACTGTTTATAAATTATGTCTGAATACAAGAATATAAATATTAACTACGAGTTACGAACCCTTGTGACAAGGTTATGTCTTCTCAGGTTTCTGTCTTTAACGAAAAATAAATCATTTTAAACATATTTAAACAGGGGGTATGCCCCCTTACCCCTTTTTCCGTTGTAAGAAGAAAACTCCCCTCCCCCCTCCTTCTTATCTAAAACTGAATTTCACTTACATTTAAATCCTTCTCGGCCTTTTCCATCTTCCACAAGAAGAAAGAATGAGGGATAAAAGAAGAAAGGATAAAGGAAGTAAGATGTAAGGATAAAGGAAGTAAGTAAGATGAAGGGATAGAGGAAGTAAGAGGAAAGAATAGATGAAGTAAGAAGAAAGGAAGCAAGAACAAAGGATAAAGAAAGTAAGATGTAAAGATAAAAGAAGTAAGATGTAAGGATAAAGGAAGTAAGATGAAAGGATATAGGAAGTAAGATATAAGGATAAAGGAAGTAAGATGTAAGGGTAAAGGAATGAAGATGTAAGGATAAATGAAGTAAGATGTAAGTATAAAGGTAAGTAGGATGTAAGGATAAAGGAAGTAAGATGTAAGGATAAAGGTAAGTAAGATGTAAGGATAAAGGAAGTAAGATGTAAGGATAAAGGAATGAAGATGTAAGGATAAATGAAGTAAGATGTAAGGATAAAGGAAGTCAGATGTAAGGATAAAGGAAGTAAGATGTAAGGATAAAGGAAGCGAGAAGAAGGGATAAAGGAACTAAAATATAAGGATAAAGGAAGTAAGATGAAGGAATAAAGGAACTAAGATGTAAGATGTAAGGATAAAGGAACCGAGAAGAAGGGATAAAGGAACTAAGATGTAAGGATAAAGGAAGTAAGATGAAAGGATAAAGGAAGTAAGATGTCAGGATAAAGGAAGTAAGATGAAAGAATAAAGGAAGTAAGAAAAAAGAATAAAGGAAGTAAGAAGGAAGGATAATGGAAGTAAGATGAAAGGATAAAGTAAGTAAGATGAAGGGATAGAGGAAGTAAGAAGAAAGAATAGATGAAGTAAGACGAAAGGAAGCAAGAAGAAAGGATAAAGAAAGAAAGATGTAAGGATAAAGGAAGTAAGATGTAAGTATAAAGGAAGTAAGATGAAAGGATAAAGGAAGTAAGATGTAAGGATAAAGGAATGAAGATGTAAGGATAAATGAAGTAAGATGAAAGTATAAAGGAAGTAAGATGTAAGGATAAAGGAAGCGAGAAGAAAGGATAAAGGAACTAAGATGTAAGAATAACGGAAGTAAGATGAAAGGATAAAGGAACCGAGAAGAAGGGATAAAGGAACTAAGATGTAAGGATAAAGGAAGTAAGATGAAAGGATAAAGGAAGTAAGATGAAAGGATAAACGAAGTAAGATGAAAGGAAAAACGAAGTAAGATGTAAGGATAAAGGAACTAAGATGTAAGGATAAAGGAAGTAAGATGTAAGGATAAAGGAAGTAAGATGAAAGAATAAAGGAAGTAAGAAAAAAGAATAAAGGAAGTAAGAAGGAAGGATAAAGGAAGTAAGATGAAAGGATAGAGGAAGTAAGAAGAAAGAATAGATGAAGTAAGACGAAAGGAAGCAAGAAGAAAGGATAAATAAAATAAAATGTAAGGATTAAGGAAGTAAGATGTAAGGATAAAGGAAGTAAGATGTAAGGATAAAGAAAGTAAGATGTAAGGATAAATAAATAAAATGTAAGGATAAAGGAAGTAAAGGATAAAGGAAGTAAGATGTAAGGATAAAGAAAGTAAGATGTAAGGATAAATAAATAAAATGTAAGGATAAAGGAAGTAAGATGTAAGAATAAATAAAATAAAATGTAAGGATAATGGAAGTAAGATGTAAGGATAAAGGAAGTTAGATGTAAGGATAAAGGAAGTAAGATGTAAGGATAAAGGAAGTAAGATGAAAGGATAAAGGAAGTAAGATGAAAGGATGAAGTGAGTAAAGGAAAGAATTAAGAGTTTAAGAAAATGATTTTGGATTAAAAGAGGTTATTCAATATTCATATTATACATAGATGCTGATTATGATGAGAGAGAAAAATTTAATAAAAACGTTGGAAAAATTTAACCTTAAAAAAAGTAATTACCCACTTATGTGTGATAATTAAAGGTNGCAGTCATTAAAGTGGCGAATTGGATCTAAGATTCGGCTAAAATGAACTGTGCCTTGATTCTCAGTTTTTGTTGACCAAACAAATCTGAAAATAATTTGAAAATTTAGTTTAAGTCAATACAGATGCCATAAAACCCCGATAGATGTCGAAAATTGTGTTAAAAGTGCATTAAATTCAAATCACAGAAAACAAAATTTTACGGTGATTACTAATTGAGGTGGTGGAGATTACCAATTGAAGAGTGCGCTTGCCGCAAAACAGATTTGGGTGGTGGTGATTACTATTTGAGGAACTCTGGACTCCCTCCCTCACGGTTGTGGCGGAAAACAAAAGATAAAATGTGGCATACAGAAGGGGAAAATGTTGTGGCTTATGGCCGCCTGCCATCTCATGACCCTCCCGCGGACTACCCCGACTCTTAAGTAATTAGTCTTTAAACACTGTATAATTTTGAAATCGAAAATAGATTGTTTTTTGTTTGGTTGAAAAGAAGGAACTGCAGGGGGCTGTCGGGGGCGGGGGAGCAGGGGGATGGGGATCGTAAACGCAGTCAACGAACAATGCAATATATGGGGGTTCTTGAAGGGGATATCCCGAAATGTCGGTTCCCATCAGAAATATTTAATATATACGGGGTTACACATAAAGGATGCGACTGCAAATATGACCTGAAAAATTGATGCTATTTAGTTTGAAATATACTGCCATTTGAACTATTTGACTTTTTGAACTATGTTCGTTTGAACTATTGCACCTGGTAATTTAGTAGTTCAAACGACTAATAGTTCAAACGATAACATTCTGTGAGCTCATTTGAACTATTTTACTATTTTTTTGCTCATTTGAAATATATTGTTATTTTTGAACTTTTAATAAAAAATGGTTCAAAATGAGCCAAAAATAAATAAATGTACCAATAAGTAGTTCAAACTAGAAAACATAGTTCAAACTAGCAAACATAGTTCAAACTAGCAAACATAGTTCAAATGAGCCAAAAAAAACTAGTTTAAATGAACCAACAAATATTTAATATGAGAAAAAAATAGTTCAAATGAGGCAAAAATAGTTCAGACCTTCCAAAAAATAGTTCTTACGAGCAAAAAAATAGTTCAAATGATCAAAAAACTAGTTTAAATGAACCAAAAATAGTTCAAATGAGCAAAAAAATATTTCATATGAGTAAACGGTAGTCATGGAATTCCTCCCAACAGGATTCCACCCATGGGACTCCTCCCAACAGGATTCCTCCCAAACGGGATTCCTCCCAAACGGGATTCCTCCCATGGGATTCCTCCCACACAGGATTCCTCCCACACAGAATTCCTCCCACACGGGATTCCTCCCACACAGGATTCCTCCCACATGGGATTCCTGCCACACAGGATTCCTCCCACATGGAATTCCTCCCACACAGGATTCCTCCCGCAGAGGATTCCTCCCACAGTTGTTAACTAAGGATCCACACCTGATAAGATCCCTGCATTTGATTATATTATAGTGATATGATTTAATACTTAGTCTGTCTGAACCAGTATGCACTACGAGAAGGTCAATTAAGCATTTTAGCACGCCATTCTTGATTTTATATAGGAAAGAATATTTTAGAAGAGGAAGTATTTTTAAAAGAAAGGAAATATTGATCCAAAAGAAAATTAGTAAACTAATCTAAAATATTTTTTTTTTTAAATATACAACTTGATTTTAAAAAACTTATAGTGTGGGAGGAATCCTGGTGGGAGGAATCCCATGGGAGGAATCAAGTGGGAGGAATTCTGCATGGGAGGAATCCCGATGGAACCACTATGAGAACTATGACGGAGAGCAGACTTAACGATCTTACACCCTTCAAGGCTGTCTCAGCTCTCTACTGAGAAAATCATTGAAATGTTTGTGCAAGCAAATCCCAGAAAATTGAAGCTTAGCAGAGTTGGTGAATATGTAGATGAAGTAAATTCTATCTATAAATTTCAGAAGAAATTTTGTTTATTAGTGAAAATATAATGTTTAATGATGCTGTGATTATTGATTTAGTTAGCTGTGATGGAGTTGAGTGATAAATTTCTAAAGTTAAAAAGTTAGTTTTTCAAGCAAAGGAAAGGCTCTATAGGCTCCATAAGGTTAGTACAGGGTGTCCCAATAAACATGGGAATTCAGTGACGAATTCGAAATCGTCTTTTAAGATAATTCTTTGATTTAATATATACTAGTGATACCTACTGAGAAAGCTGTATAACTGTGAGAGTTTCGTCTGCTATGTTCACATTTTGTTTGTTTATATTTTGACTGCATACGGTTGTACTTCGTAAAACAAGAAAATTGCAGTATACAATTACTAGGGTTTCCATTCGCAAAACTTTTGCGCAATTTTTGCGGAACGAAACGCAAAATTTTTCTTTCTTTGCGCATCAGTTTTGCGCGAAAAAACAACAATTTGCGCAATCAGCTACTAGCGTGCACAAAAAATAGNAATTTGGTTTTCTTTTAACAATAATTTTATATTTTCTATAAAATGATATTCCAGGGTCCACCAGGTTATACGGCATAAATATGTGAAGTACACCTGCAGTATGGAAACAGTACAACAAAATGGCCGTTTTACACTTTTTTCCAGTAAATTCCTCTCTATATATTCTATTCTATGCATTATAGACACATCAATTTACAGTCTTTTACCCTTTTCATATAATAAACTCTAGCAGACATAATACTATTATGGATTTTGAAATTAGGTATTACAATGCTAATTCATAACAAAGACGATATCCAATTCGTCGTACTGAATTCCCATGTTTATTGGGACACCCTGTAATTCACCCAAAAATGTAGTCTTTTTGGTGTATTCTTATGGTAAACAAAAACAATTCCAGGGAGGGGGAGGCAAAAAACAGCCGGGGGCAAATTGTGCCCCCCCCCCTAAACAAATGCCCTCATACGCTCCTGGGAGCCACCCCCCTGCCTCCTTCCCTTCCCTGTAGGTTAAAATTAAATTATTATAAAAGACGACATTTAAAGTTATGACTAATCTCTAGTTTAATGCTCGATCTAGCCGCTAGATAACGTCTAATGCTGGTCTAATGTCTATCCATACACACAACCGTCTGTAATTCCTGTTATCGTATTTATAACATATTTTTTACGAAAAAACTTCAAGAAATCTTCAATTAAATGTTTTCATTGTAGAAATTTTAAGTTTAGATGTTTACATAAAACTTATTAGAAGAAAATACATTATGAAAGAATATATTTCATGCATTGACTCAGTGAATGTCTGCTGTTTCCTCTGACGTAGGAAAACCAGGGACTTTTCATTTCTGAAAAACTTTTTTTGGCAAATAAAATTGTGAAGATTAAAAGTCAAATATTTGATTTATATTTTAAACTTTTTAAATGTTTAATGTTTTGGTTAATTTATCCCTGATTCCAGAAAGTACACAAGGATTCCTAAAAGTCTTCCTTTACAGTCCGTCCTCCGTATAGGGTAGGTGACTAGGGGTATATATCCAGATTTTAGTCCACCAGGGGGTTAATAAACATCTTAAAATGAGAATCTGGACTTCTGAACACATCTTCAGCCATAGTTGGGAGACGGTGACTGAAGGGCAGTGGCAGAAATACCCTAATCCACATAATCAGGTAAAAAACCTTTCAAGTGATTTTTACATGTGATCCATGAACAATTCTTTTTTCATTGAATTTAAACTACAGATTGCACTTGTTAACATCTTCCCCCCCCCCGTTTCTATTTTTTATATAATTTTTACTGATTTTACTTTAATAAGTCTTTTCTAGGCAGTAATTGGTCAATTATACAGTTCACTTAAAGCTTTGATTTTTTTTGCTAAGACATGTCTTATTACTGTTAAGGAAAATTCATAAAATTTGGGGACCCTGCCATCAAAAAAAAAACAGAATAATCTTGATTAATCTTTGAACCTACAGTTACGATTGAGTTTAAAATGGATTAACTTAAAATTCCCTTGGTGGCATTTTCTGAAAATTTGAATTATAACTCAGAAGCCTGCATATTAATATATTCCGAAAAAAAGTTTAGGTGTTTTGACTTGAAACCTGATGGTTCATTTTCAGCAGCGTGACTAACGCTTTTGGTCCCTCTATATGTTAGCTATAGCTGGCCAACCGGCTCGACCAAATTGGTTGAAATTTTTTTTATTGATTTTTTTTCGAAATTTTGAAATTTTTACCGCAAAGGGTCTTTTAAAATGTGGAAAGCAAGGACTAGCACTTGAGCTGGTAGAATATATGTATACTTGTACTCTAGGCTGTTATTGGAACTGATGTAGTTGAGAGGAAGGTTGAGAATGGTATACTACACACGAATAGAATCATATCATCAGATTGGGGGCTAGCGGACTGGGCCCAGAGAATACTCGGAGCAAACAAGTAAGTTATACAAATAATCTATTTTGTTTTTTTTTTCATTAAAGTTTGGAACCAATTTCAAATAAACAGTCTTTTAATATGATTCCAAAGGCAAGGATTTTCATACTTTTTGTCTAAAAATAAATCATTTTCCCCTAAAATAAGCTTATTAAATAGATTTTTTCCCCAAGCTAGTCAAGAAAAAAATATATACAAACCTGTTAAATCTAGTTGGAATTGTTCAAAAGAAACTTGTGTGTACATCATGTTAGGGGTCGATTTTCTCCCTTTTTAATTGATTATACAAACTTGATGTTTTTAACCTGCTTTTTGTAAAATAATATTTATAGTTTTCTTTAATTTTTTATTTTTTATTATGATGCTTTTACAGTGAGTTTGTTTATTTGATTAATATTTACAGAGTCTGCTATGCGCATGAATACTCAATGGTGAATCCCAGTGAGCGTGTGATGGAGATGCACTCAAGAAATCTCTCCTTCTCTAATATCGTGAATATGCAAGAAAAAATGACCTACAGGTGACTTTTTACGCTTGTTTAAAATTTCTTTTTAAAGGGAGTGTTTGCAACAGATAAAAGTAAAACAAAATTAGTATTGATCAAAATGGAAATCAGTCTATTTTCCCTCAAACTTTTCGCGAACACTCCCTTTAATCTTTTCTTTTAACCCTACTTTAACATATTTACATATATTTTTACCAATTATAAAAAATGGACATCTTAAGCTTTTACAATTAGTGAACAAGTTTTCAAGACTCCTTTAAAGAGGTAAAAAGATATAACTATTTTCTAATCTAGAAAATATACGAAAATTTAATCATCAGAGAAAAAAATTCTCAAAGTTTCTCAATTCAAAACTTTTGGGAAATGAATGTTTTCTGGTAGCCACAAATCATAAACTAACCAGAATTACGTTACGAAACTTGTTGTTCAATCTCAACACAAAATATGATAGTTCCACATTTTTTGTAAATAAATTTTGGTCTGTATTGACATTCTTCAGTTCTTACGATTTAATAACTATAAAAATCAATATTAAAAATTCAGCAGAAAATAAACAAACAAAAAACTTGGTTGTCAATTTAAAAAAGGAAACTAACTCAGAACAAAAATTTGTAAATATTCACATTTTAAAGAAACGTTTAAAGAGAATTATTATAATCCTTGAGATTTCTTTCTGTCATGAAGATTCAAAACAAACTGTTAAATGTACGTAGAGTATTAAGAGGGGGGGGGTACCTGGAACTTTACTCTCCCTGTCTATTAAATTCTATTATAATGTACGAAATGAAGTTTAATTTGTGTATGATTTATTTACTGTTTTATGTTGTTAGACCCCACCCTGAGGATGCTGGTAGGACGGTGATGAAACAGGAAACCGTTGTAACAGTCCAGGGAGTTCCTCTCACATCCTACATGGAGAACATTATCGTCAACACCGTCTCATCAAACAGCAACAAGGGGAAAGCAGCAATCGAGTGGATAGTCGAGAAGCTGGGTCAGGAATGCAGGTTTGTCTTCTTGGACACTTAAGGGTGTATATTTTTCAGTATTGCTCCTCCCCCCCCCCCTTCAACCTCCCCTGGAGGGGGAAAGATTTTTGATGATTTGGGGGAAAATGAAAAATGGGGCATCATACGGCAAGTTTTTCATTTTTTACATTTTTACCCGAAAATTCATTTTTTTTCTCAATTCTGCGATTAGAAAAAAAAAAAACTTTTTTGGGGAAAAAAATGATTTTTAAAAGAGGGTAAATTATTTTTTGAGAAAATATACAATATACATCCCTGAATGATTCATTAACTGTTATTTTTCAGATACAGTCATTATTATTAGCAATATAAAGCGGAGCAAAAAGTTTTAAAAATTAGTAAATGCGCAAAGAATTTTGCATTTTGTGCATGAAATAACTCTGGAAATGTGAATTTTAGGAGATATAATAGACATAACACTTTCTAATCAGAAAATTAAGATTTTTCTTTAGAATATACTTAACAAAGACGACGTACATTCCACTTGCTACCGGTTATGACTGGATTGTCATTTTTTCTTTCTTTTATTTGAAATGCTAATCGTCAAATGAACTGAACACGTTTGGTTTTCTGCAAAATGGACATTTGATTTTAAAAATTGATTTTATCTTCAGATGACATGAAACTTGCAAGAAAAATGAAAGATATGTTTTTTTTTAATAGATAAATATTTTTTAAAAATAAATTCTGGAAATCTAGTCGAGCGATTGAAAGTTTCATAAACATCCTATTTTTTAGTTTATTTTTTATTAATTTATATTTCAGATCCTTGAGCCTTTCCTCTTCATTAGAAAAACTTAAACTCGAGATGGTTGATCTTAAGCATACAGTTGCAGACTCATTAGTACATACAGCTAGACAACATATAGATGATCTACAGGTTTCCCCCCCCCCCATACATACAGTAACAGACTCATTAGTACATACAGCTAGACAACATATATATGATCTACAGGTACCCCCCCCCCCCCATACATACAGTTGCAGACTCATTAGTACATACAGCTAGACATCATATATATGATCTACAGGTACCCCCCCCCCATACATACAGTTGCAGACTCATTAGTACATACAGCTAGACAACATATAGATGATCTACAGGTACCCCCCCCCCCCTCCCCCATACATACAGTTGACAGACTCATTAGTACATACAGCTAGACAACATATAGATGATCTACAGGTACCCCCCCCCCCCATACATACAGTTGCAGACTCATTAGTACATACAGCTAGACAACATATATATGATCTACAGGTACCCCCTACCATACTTACAGTTGCAGACTCATTAGTACATACGGCAAGACAAAATATAGATGATCTACAGGTACCCCCCCCCCCCCCCCCCATACATACAGTTGACAGACTCATTAGTACATACAGCTAGACAACATATATATGATCTACAGGTACCCCCCCCCCCATACATACAGTAACAGACTCATTAGTACATACAGCTAGACAACATATATATGATCTACAGGTACCCCCTACCATACTTACAGTTGCAGACTCATTAGTACATACGGCAAGACAAAATATAGATGATCTACAGGTTCCCCCCCCCCCCTCCCCCATACATACAGTTGACAGACTCATTAGTACATACAGCTAGACAAAATATAGATGATCTACCGTGTATAATTCGGACATTTTCCCTCATTGTTTATGACGCAGAACTGCGCAAGTCACTTCTTAGCGAAACCAAAATCTCAACTTATAAATTTTGATGAAGAAAATTTTGGTTATCATTAAACAGAGTTTTCAAGGGTACCTTTGTGAACCAGACACAGCACTTGAGAAATGGAAAGCTACTAGAAATTAAGTTCGTCCCTCAAAATCTGGGGAAGGGCAGTATCTGTTTAGATGTATTTTAAATGATTTAAGATCGACGCAAAGCATTTATTCTGACTTAAAATCACGCGGACAGAACGGACGGGTTGTTATGTTGGCTGAACTCCAAAACTTATTCCCAATATTTTTAAATTAATTTTCAGGGGTTTATATTTTTGTATATTTTCTGAAAGCAGATTTGAGGAAACTAATTAAGGGATATGTGACATTTTTTTAATGTATTATATAGAATTTCTGTATTTTCCAACTTATAACGCTAGTCTTAAGAAATAGATATATATTTTTTAATCTCCGCTGTAATATTCATTTTATCTTAGGTTCATCTTTATCGCAACCTCGTGCAATTTTATTGCGATTTCAAACCTTAGAATTCCCTCCAGTACCTGGAAATGGTTTTCGAAGAGGGGGGAGGGGTGAACATTATCACGAAAATGTTATTCTAGAATTGTTAATACTCAAAACTTGAACATATTTTGATGGATTAATTGCAATGTGGATTCGGATGCGTAAATTATTGTTATCTGGACTTAAACCTTGATTTATAGATTAATTTAATTTTTGTCAATGTATAGGCCCGAGTACAGTTGGATCTTCAGAAACTTGGAAGTAGTATAGCTCAGCCTGTCATGCTGAAAGCAGAAGATATTTCCAGTTCATCATCTAGCTAATAAACAACCATGTAAACAACACATACCATGTACTGTGTACTCAAGTCTGGAAAGTACACTGTTCATGTTCTGTGTACTATCATCTATACAGTACACCCCATGACTTGGCAACATAGCTCAAAACTCAACTTGATTCAGACTCTAGCTTTTACTGAGACATCAAGCTAGAGTTCTAGTCTTTACTTGGACATCAAGTCAGAGTTCTAGTCTTTACGTGAACATCAAGCTAGAGTTCTAGTCTCTACGTGAACATCAAGCTTTAGTTAAGTTCTCCAACTTAAAATCTCTGGACTCTACACTGTACCCTTCTTCTACACTACAGAACATACTGTACATAAAAAGTATTGTACTGGAGGAAATCACCGTGTAAACCATATAGTACATAACAAATCTCAAGCTTGTGTACAGAATGTGCTATAAACACTTCTATAATAATATTAACAACCTTGCTATAGAACATTAAGTATTGTACAATCAATTCCTTGTTCGCAAACTTATTGACATGCAGCTGGAGGAAATTGTTGTACATTTTTGTTTTAATTTCATTTAACACATGTTGATAGTTATCAAACACGTGTTGATAGTTATCGAACACGTGTTGATAGTGATCGAACACGTGTTGATAGTGATCTAACACGTGTTGAATGTGATTGAAAATGTGCTGAAGGTTACCTAACACTTGTTGAATGTTCTCTATCACATGATATTACCTGTCGAATTGGAGCTATCGTGATAAATTAGATATGTAACACGTGTTGAATGTGATCTAACACATGAGAACGGTATATTTAACAAATGTATAATGCGATCTTATATCATATGTTATATATGTCGATTGTAATGATATAACGCGTTTGGAATGTGATCTAACGTATATAATGTTATTTATAATGTGTTAAATGTCATCTTACACGGGGTTTTAATAAGATCTTACACGTGTTTTTAACAAGATCTTACACGTAAATATGGTCTTACACGTGTTTTAAACATGATCTAATACGTGGTAGAACAGATATTATTTCTGGTAAACATGTTCACGTGTTTGTGACGTAAGCTTGAGATGATCTACGGCTGTTATGTAAATGACGGATATTATTGGATTTAGTCTTCTAAATTGTGATACTCACAACACCATATTAAATAAATTTTATTTTTAACAATTATTTCTTTGGGCGAGAATTAATATTGCTGAAATTAGTATCTAAGGTTGTAATCATCTCTGTTTAATGTTAAATCTTATGATCAGACAGGTGTGAGCATGTATTAACATTATTAATATTTTCGAAACTGAGATTTTAAACTTGCACGTTCATGAATATTAAATGTCTTGAGTAGTTACTGGAAATTGTAACCCTACGCTATTTAGGACTTCATAGACTGATAATGTATTTTAAGTAAGAATTGAAGATGCTTTAGTGAAACAAAATGGTCCTCTGAAATTTAAATTTCGTAGCGACATTCTATTATGAGGAGCATATATCCGCTTTTGGAAATGGCAGGGAATGGTATGAATAAGGGAATCATGGGTACTTGAATAGGGTATCGCTACGAGGCTCGCGCACGAATGAAAGGTCGATACGGCACGGGGGGAGATCCGTACCCTCTGACGTCACTGATTAAAACTATTGGTGGAGAATTCTCAGACCGCCAAAGAAATGCCAAACACAATTATGCGTATACTCGCCTACAACAGAGCCCGTTCTCTCCATAATAGTGTTTAAACAGTGGTCGTGTTGTTCACGTACTTTGGGGGACGATAGTTTGGCCGCTAGATGTCTCTCGTAAGAACTATCTATCTATCAGATAAGAATTTTGCGTGAGACACCTAGCGGCCAAACTATCGTCCCCCAAAGTACGTGAACAACACGGCCACTGTTTAAACATTATTATGGAGAGAACGGGCTCTGNGAAATCCTAATCTCCAACTTGAAGCAACTGTTTCTCTACCTGTGTATAGAATACAGTGTGATCCAAGCTTTAGAATTGTCAAATAGAAAATAAAAAAAATGTTCAAGAAAATAGAACTGTTTACAAAAGAAAAAAACGCAAGCAGTTAATAAATCTTATTTTTATTACCCCTTGCATAGTGAGATTAACACGGTTCATTTAAACTTTTTTATTTTAAATTTTTTATTTCCGCCAGTGCTGTAGAAAACCACCTGTTGCTTCATGGTTTAAGTGTGAGTTTTAAGTTTGTAAACTGAAGATATCTCGAAGTTTAAAAATTCTAAATCAAATTTATATTTGAGTTTGGATATTTTGCCATTAATTACCATGAATGAAATTATCCTTATTATTAAAACTTAATGTAGGAAACCTAATAAAACTTTGTGATAATATACTTCTTGAGTTTTAGTTCAAGCTATGTAGAGGATTACATCCGTCCTACCTGTCTAAACACTTTTACTTACAGAATACAGATACAGAGCGTACCAAATCATATTGGATTATCTCAAGCTTTCATTAGCCAAACTACGCCACATAATTTAAGAAAAACCTGGTATTTTCTGCAAGAATTTCTTTAAAGTATAGTATTTTACATTTTATCTAAATGATTCATTCAAAAACCCCTCAAACTATATCTGTTTCCTTACATTTATGATTCACTGCAACTGTAACTTGTTTCTTTCTTTCTAATTTTAATAAGTCATAAGATTATATTCATATCTAAAAAGTAAATTCATATTGAAAGAATTTCAAGTCGTCTTTACAGTATCGTCCTTTGTGGGTAACCCTGTATTAAAAGTTAGGTGTTCGTATGGTAAAGAAAAGTTAAACTTTTAAAATGCTTTTTAGGAAGTACAGGGTGTTCCACGAAACATGACAGTTGATGAATAGTTTAGAATGTCGTCTTCCAAATACTGGATAAGATCTAAAGACTTTTTGCTGTTTAGTTGGGTAGAAAAATCTTTTACTCCAAAATATCTCAATCTGTGATCGAAATGAAACTGCCATATATATTGTGATATGTTTATTAATCTTCTCTTTGGTGTCAAACAATTTAACAAATTATGAAAGAAGACATTCTAAGATATTCACCAACTGTCATGTTTCGTGCAAGACACCTTGTATACCACATCTTTTTGTTGATAATTTAAGCATTATTAGATCGTTATCAAAGATTAAATACGATCATTAAGTTGTCTCTCCCAACTGTCAGGTTTGTGAGAAACTCTTTCAATTTTTAAATTTTAGAATAAAAAACCAGATTAATTAGTAATAATGGAAGCTGCAGATTTCCTGGGGCGCTCCAGTTCTCATTGTCCAACAGGTCTCATCTATTTTATTAATGTTATTTTGAATATACCTACCTCAAATAGACATTGACTGTTCAGAAAAGTTTTACTGTTTTCTGAACAGTACCATTATATTCTCCTGTTTTCTGAACTGTACCATTATATTCTCCTGTTCACTGAACTGTACCGGTATATTCTCCTGTTTACTGAACTGTGCTAATTCTCCTATTCACTGGCATTGAACATTATATTCTCCTGTTTACTGAGCATACCATTATATTCTCCTGTTCACTGAACTGTACCATTATATTTTCTTTCTTACTGACAGCTGTACCAATTCCAGATAATTTTAGGAAATCTATGAGAGTAAAAATCCCTGAATATTTTTATAGTAGATGAATTTAACCTGCCTGTTGTTTCAGGTAGCGAGGGAGAATTTGCAACCTTTGGATTCCTCTCCTTGATCATTACTATGCTTAATACAGTTCTCACTCTTACCAATACCATCAATATCAACAACAATAACAACAACAACAACAACAATGACAACAACAATAATAATAACAATAATAATAATAACAACAATATGAATACTGGAAGACTATTATTGGTGGCTATTGGTGAGAATTTTGAAGAAGGGATGGCAGCTAACCAGAGGTTTGAGGAAGTCATGGTAGCTAAAGATAGGCTTGTGGAAGGGATGGCAGCTAACCAGAGGTTTGAGGAAGGGATGGCAGCTAAAGATAGGCTTGAGGAAGGGGTGGCACCTAAAGAAAGGCTTGTGGAAGGGATGGAAGCTTTAGAGAAGCTAGAGGAAGAGATGGCAGCTAAAGAAAGGTTTGAGGAAGGGGTGGCAACCTGTTCTTCAGGTAAATCTTTAAACTAACGGTTTTTGTTTTACTTTGTTTTACTTTGTGAAATAACGCTTTTTTCCGAAAAAAAACCGGGAAAAGTTTTTAAATTAGCGAATCATAGTCATTACAAAAAAGAACAACGTATAAAAGCAATTCTTTGCTAAGAAAAATTCTGAAAACAGATTTGGTTTCAACTCTTCTGAATTTATTCCAACTGAAAACTTTTTCATAATTTCTTAAATTATTATTTTCTTCCTCACCCTGTCTGTATTCAGGTGGTAGGTTGATATTCTACATAAAGGAAGTATATAAGCAGGTTGACCGTCTTATACAAGCCATAGATAGGAACTATCCAGCTTGTTATACTTTATACACTTGTAATAATATTATCTCCTTGTTAAACTTTATACACCTGTAATAATATTATCTCCTTGTTAAACTTTATACACCTGTAATAATATTAAANCTTTTGGAAACCTGTATTTTCAAAAAAAATTTATTTAAACAAATTTAAACTACACCATTTATATTTGTATTTATATCTTTGTGTGTGATTAAATCTTTATAATTATAATTACAATAATATATTATATCTCCTTGTTAAACTTTATGCACCTTTTTCAATTCCTTACATCTACTAGACTACTACTGTACATGTACAGATAAATAAACCTTCCATCCTAGCTGTACATGTTCAGGAAGAGATTTCTTTCATCTACTACTGTACATGTACAGAAAAATAAACCTTTCATCCTAGCTGTACATGTTCAGGTAGAGATTTCTTTCATCTTCTACTGTACATGTACATAAAAATAAACCTTTCATCCTAGCTGTACATGTTTAGGAAGAGATTCCTTTCATCTACTACTGTACATGTACAGAAAAATAAACCTTCCATCCTAACTGTACATGTGCAGGAAATGATTTCTTTCATCTTCTACTGTACATGTACAGAAAAAATCCTGACATCTACTACTGCACATGATACAGAGGAAATCCTTTTATCTTCTGCTTTATATGTGCAAGAAGAGATTCCTTTCTACTTCTATTGTACATGTACAGAAAGCAATCCTTCCATCTTCTACTGTACATGTGCAGGAAGAGATTCCTTTCTACTTCTATTGTACATGTACAGAAAGAAATCCTTCCATCTTCTACTGTACATGTGTAGGAAGAGATTCCTTTCAACTTCTATTGTATATGTACAGAAAGACATTCTTCCATCTTCTATTGTACATATACAGGAGGAAAACGTAAAGTCAGTAAATACAGAATCTAATGGAAAAGTTACTTATTAGTTTGAATTCAACCTACTTTTTAATTACGTTTTTGGAATTAGCGACAAAATGATCAATACAATGAAGACGACTTTTTATTTCAATTATGATTTCTACCAAATAGGTTGACAACCTATTTATTTCTACCAATCTTACAAACATCAGAGAAACATATAAATGTAATCAAAGACAAGTTTTCAATTAACAACTTCTCTTTGTTTACTGCGCTAGACAAAGTTTTAATCTTTTTTTCTTTTTTTTTTGCGGGGGGGGGAGAGAGAGGGCGAGAACTCTGAGAAAATAGTAAGTTTATAAAAGTTTTATTATTTCTGGTTTTAATAATTTTCGGAATTATTGAGGAATGATTAAAAAATGTGAAAATATTAATGGAGAACAATAAGTTAAAATACAGTTGAAAGACAATATCCTTTCAAGAAATATCAGCATTTCCCAAGCAGCTGATTTAATGAGAAAAGTGAATAGTTGAGTAAAAGGAAAAGATGGAATGACTGTTGAGTAAGCTAAAAGTTGCAACTAGAACCATACAAACACAAAGAAGTTATTTATCCTTGTGATATATGTAGTTTCTGTATGTGAGTATGTGGCAACTACGCGAGGGAGCCTGAAGAAACATGTTGAATACAAACATGAAACAGTGAGATATCCATGTGATAAATGTGATCATATTGCAACTGATGCCGATAATCTGACAAAGCGAATGAAGTTGTAAGATATTTTAATTATTGTGAGTATATCTAAAAAACATATAAAATGGAAGCTGGTCTACAAATACATATTAAGAGTAAACATGAAGCAGTAACATGCCATATTGTGTGTGTGGTGAATATTCAGCAACTACAACTGGTAACTTGAAGATACATATCAAAAGTAAAATAAATGTGACTATAATGTAGTGAATACATTAGATAGACTTGTAAAAAGTGAAGAAATCCTTGCGATGACCGTGAATATATAGCAACTGTTTCAGAAAATCTGAAGGAACACATGAAAACTTGCCATAAAGGTTTGAAATATTCCAGTATTGAATATGAGTATATGGAAACTGATACAGGATACCTGAAGAAGTAAATAATAATATTGGAAACTAAGGAAGTTAATTTCCCTGAGAGGTTTATGAAAACGCTTCATCTACGTCAGCTTATCTGATGACTCATATTAAGAATAAACATGAAGAAGTTGTAAATCGATCCTGTAATTAATGTGAGTAAGCTGCAATATGGAGGTGGGGGGGNGGGGAGCACGTGCAGACTGCAGACCCGCCATGTACCCACAGTAATGGCCTACTAAGCCTTTTAATTCGCAAAATAACTTCAAAGTCCCGTAAACCATCACCGTGGCACTCGTACACGACTTTGGGCCCCTGTAATTCTGTCTTCACGTCATTATGATCTCAATTAAAACATATTTGGCTTTAGCATCCACTAAATAAAGTCCTGGGGCTTAAAGTGTGACGTTTTATTGTGTTGGAAAGGTTAAACTGTCGCAGGAGGGATTTACAAACTGTGGTCTACACTTTGTAGCTTTAAAAATTGGCTTATTAAATAAGATGGTTTTCCGGATTTCTATTTTAATCAGAATTTGTAAGAGTATTTTGGATTTTTTTTAAAAGCTTTATTTTTGACACGGAAACTCACTCTTGAAAGTTGTAGCATAATAGCTATACTAAATGCATTGGGCAATGTATTAGGCTCTAGCCTCATTATTCATTTGGATTTTTGTTGACATTTTATCATATTTCTTTGCTTTAAATTTCTGAGGTTTTGCTCATAACTCACACGTGAAATAGCGTGCGTGTTGTCAATATAGTAATGGCGGATTTCGTCTTAATGTAAGTTAACTCGTTTTGCTTTAAACTAACAATTAACAAATATTTATTATTTTTACATAGAAATGTTTAAAGACAATGTTATTTTCGTAACCAATCATATAACATTGTATTAGAAAAAACTATTATATAAAGGGTAGAATCAATGTGCAGGTTGTCTATCAAGAATTTATTCTGTTATTTCTGATTATGTGAATAGAATAAATGCTGTTTTTAAACATTTGTTAAAACTAGACAGTAGACATGGTAGATAGTTGACAGTGGACAGTAGACACTAGACAGTAGACGGTAGCAATAGACACTAGACATTAGAAAGTAGACACTAGACACAAGACAGTAGACGGAGACGGTAGACAGTAGACAATAGAAATTAAACATTTGACACTAGATAGTATGTGGACATTAGACATATGAAACTAGACACTAGACACACCCTGTAGAATATTGAATTCAGTTCATCACAGCAAGATACACACAAACATTATCAAGAGTATACATTTTATAAAAAAGGTTTCATCTTTCTCCCTCGCCCCCTCCCCCTCCCACATCTTCTTAAGCTATGAAAAAAATTAATTTTGACTATGCACGGACACAAGATTTGTTTGAAAATAAAAGAAAGTTAAGTTTTCGCTTAAAATAGAAAATGTAAAACATCTCATGAAGAATAAGATATACTTTGATTGAAATATAATAAAACACCTTTTATATAATATAAACTCTTGGTCAATACATTAATATAAAGAGTTCAATATTACTTAAAAAATATGGATCCAAAATATTTTTATAAACATTTATATTTATATTTTTATTTTTATTAGTTTTCTGAAAGCCATATTACTGGTAGATTACTGGTTACAGTTAAGGGGGAGGGGAGGGGGGATTCAATTTGAAGAAATAAAAAGAGGGAAATTTAGATTTTGAGTTGTTGAAAAGAGCTGGGGAAAAATTGAGTAAAGAGATTGGCGGAAGATAAAGTAATTTTAAAAAGCCTTGTAAAAATATAGACTTGAGTATGAATAGAATTACACAATATAAAATATGTTTAGCTGCTCTAATACCTGGATTATTTATCCTTCCTGAGCTTGAAACTTTAGAATGGGATATCCTTAATCCCGATCGGTTAATTAATCTTGAGACTGATAACAAGAGGAGAAGAAGAATTATTTAATATGGAGATTAAGAAATAGAGGAGATCAAGCAATAATCCCGATATCTACCATTCAAAAGTTCCCAGCTCTGAGTTCTTTCATGGAAAACAAAACCAGGGGTTTTCACCCATTATTAATGAGTCGGGGAAAAAATTATCTGTTCGAATATTAAAGAAAACCGTTTATGTCAACTAGCTTATATATCTAGCTTACATTAGAGTCTTAGAAAAACATGGATGGAGTCGACTTTTAAAACATGGATGGAGTCGTCCTTTAAAATATGGACGGAGTCGTCCTTTAAAATATGAATGGAGTCGACTTATAAAACATGGATGAAGTCGTCTTTTAAAACATGGATGGAGTTGTCCTTTCAAACATGGATGTTTATTTAATATGCTTTCAGATAATAATTCTTCCCAATCTCAAAATATAAATGTCCGGTT